GCCCACTTCACTGCAGACGCCAATCCACCTGTTGATCTCCTGCTCCATTCTTCCCTCATTCATGAACAAGACCCTGAGATACTTAAACTGCTCCACTTGGGGCAGGACCTCCTCCCCGACCTGGAGAAGGCACCCTACCCTTTTCTGGCTCAAGACCATGGTCTGGGATTTGGAGGCACTGATCCTCATCCCATCTGTGAACCGCTCCATATTGTTCATGTTTCATCATTAAGTTCTCAACATTAAATAAGCTTCACTTTAAACCTGATCAGAACCAGTTTAGTTTCAGAGCCCTTGGTACCATGGAATCATAAGTGCTTCCTCTCCCATGCAGCTGATTCAAGGCATAATTAATTCAGGTTCACACCAAAATCCTGACTTAATTCCTTATCATAGATTCATGCAATAGACTCCTGGACTCACCTGATGATGCAGAGGCCATAGTTTCAGTCTAGATTGTATCAAAATTACCTAAAATGGAGAGAGGAAATAAAACCTGTTTTTATTCCAACAAAGTCAGTTTTGCTTCACATAAACATTCCTCAGATGACTACAAAGAAGTGAAAGTGATTATATTGTCCTAATCAAATCAAATATTAAAATACACCTGTTAATGTCTTCCATTAATGATTGAAGAGTCCAGCAGGAGAAACAAATCTGAGTCATTAAAGTCAGTAAATCAGGGCTTGGTAGATTGTATATTTGTTTGAACAAAGCTTCTTAACAATGAATCTTAAATCTTGTAAAATCTGTTAATTTCTCTTTTAAACGGAGCCACATTTGTAAGGAACATGTATTTGTGGGAGGAGCGGTAGAGCTGAATTTGGGCTGCTCACATGATAAATCTGTCAGATCTTCTCTGTCCAGCAGCTTAATTTGTTGTGATTAACTCTTGTTTTGAGCTTCTGTTCTCCCAGCTGCTGCCAGTCAGGTTCAGCTTTGAGATTTACAGGATTTATCAACAAGAACCCTCGTTACAACAAAAATTTAATTGAACAAACAACATTTACTTATGTAGGTAAGCACCTGTTACCAAAATAGTTTTTATCAACAGTTTACCTTTCTAGTTTTTGAAATTGATCGAATCAGAAGACAAACTTTCAAAACACCACAAAAAGGGAATCAGAGTATTTAGGTTTTTGTCATCGACACACTGCACAATGTTTTATTTAAAACTAAATTAAAAGACAAATTACAAATATTTGATTAGAGTGGATTCGTTCTTGACAGGTAATTAGCTCAAATTTAAACAACTACAAAGACCGGTTAATATATGTATTTCTAAGCAAATCAGATAAACAATTTATTTAACTTTAAAAATTTAAACCCAGAATGTGTTGTGCATGTATGTTTGTGGTTTATCTGTGTGTGTGTGTGTGTGTGTGTGTGTGTGTGTGTGTGTGTGTGTGTGTGTGTGTGTGTGTGTGTGTGTGTGTGTGTGTGTGTGTGTGTGTGTGTGTGTGTGTGTGTGTTTACACTATGTTGAAATGATTGTGAAGATGTAAAGATAAGTTTTAACAGAGTTTACTCTAAGTTAGGTTTTAATTGACTCAGTGAGTTTGTGTCGCGTGCACGGAGCTGCAGATTTGAGAACCTGCTGATGTTGTCAGATGATGAGGGAGGTCAACAGGAAGGCCAAGTTTAGGTGTTGGTCTCATCTTTGATGGGCAGTCTTTACCTGCTGGTCATCTATATTCATGGAGTGAAGATTCGGTGCTGATGGACCAGAACAGACTGGTGGCCAGGCACACTCTGATGAGGCGTCTCAATCACTGAAAGGCAAATCTGCAGTTGATGGCAGCTCACAGAATAATCCTAAAATGGAAAAGTTTATACTTCAAGAAAAAAAATTTCTTCAAGTGAAAATCAACCAAATATTGGCAAGAAGGAACTGGAAACCCAGCAAGATGTTTCCAGTTCCAAGATCAGCAAGCAAACAGCAACTAGCAGACAGAATGAAACTTTAGCCAGAGAGGACAAAAAGGGGAAAAATGCAAACATGAAAATGTTTATATCAGGTGTTGTCTGGTTGTGTGTGAGAGAACAGGTAAAACCATCTGGGTCTGTTTCACCCATTTAAAGCACACGAACATGCTTCACATATTCACTGCTCGGGATTATCCTCAGATCAGTGTAAAACAAAACAATAATAATAAATTACTGCTTGATCAGTGACTAGTGATTAAATGAACAACAAATCACTTGATTAAATGAAACCTAAACTAAATTATTCTTCTCGTTATGTAAATCTTAAGCACTAATTAGTAACAAAATTAAACAAAACATGATCACACAAACAAGTGAATGAACAAGAAAAAAAGAGAAAAGAAAACTTTTAGGCATGTGAAATAAAAATTTTAAACAAAACATAAAATGTTAAAAGTTTATTATTTTTTTTAAAAAACCACAAGGAGCTAAACAGGTGCAAAAGGGCATTCCTCGGCAAATTTGCAAGCTAGCCGAATTAATAAGTGGGTAGACAACATGTTACTTTGTTATGGCTGGTTTAGGATAGAACAGGGAAAATGTTTAGTTTATACTTTTCAAAGGAATTTACGTTTGGGAAGAAAGTTTCTTTAGGAGAGCACTTTAGTCTTGGCAGCAGCAGAGGTTGACAAAGGTCAAAGGTCAACCACAGGGTCAGGATGTTCCTCTACACTTACTTTTTGTGCCAAGTTCAGTTATATAGAGAACATAACAATATTTATTATTTTTATTATTTATCACACTGATAAAACTCTGTTCTACCAAATATCTACCCAAACAAATAAATAAACAAATAAATAGAAAACACAAATCTGCAGTCATAGATGATGTTAATGTTGTCACTTTATCATTTTACTTTGTGATCTTTAGTTGTGTTCACCTCGTGTGATTCAGAGAAAACTTCAGAGGTCCACAACAACACAAAATGTGTTTGTTTGTTTGTCTGTCTGTCTGTTTGTTTGTTTGTTTGATGAGAATGTTTTCTGGAGCAAACTGAATAAATGTTAACACATTKAATCTGCTGCTCAGTTCCTCCTGAAGGTTTTATCTTTATTATATTTGATTGTATCACTATCACTGCAGTCAGATCAAAGTTCAGGTTCATTTCATCTGAACTTCAGACTCCAGTTTGAAATAAACAGTCAGTTGTTAATGTAGTCATTTATCCAAATCTTGTGATTAAAATCCAAATAAAATACATTTCTTATGTTATAAAGTAATTTTTTCTTTATTTAAACTCGAAAAAGAAGGTTTAAAATTAACTTGTGTGAAACTAACACCTGACAGGTGTGGAGTTAAACTCACTCATTAAACTGTTTCTAAAATCACAAGTTAGTTTGTTTCTGTAGATATTTGTTGTTTGGACTCACCTGATCCCTGAATCAGCTGCTGCTGGATTCTTTCTCCAGGCTGAAGAATCACCTGCAGTCCTCACCTGTCCTCACCGGTCCTCACCTGTCCTCACCTGTCCTCACCTGTCCTCACCTGTCCTCACCTGTCCTCACCTGTCCTCACCTGTCCTCACCTGTCCTCGCCTGTGTCCTCACC